AGCTTTCATTTCCATATTCTACATTTTATATACATTTAGTCAATTTCGAAGAATTCAAATAAATCTAAAGACACTTTTGTCATTTTCCTTCAACTTTGACAGTAAACTGTGAGAAAATCGCAAATATCACAATGATGACGCAAATTGTAATGATTTTCAAAATATTTAAATAATACTACAGGGTGGCCCAATTGAACTGCAACCAACTTAAAACTGCTATAACTTTTGAACCCTTTTTCAATGTTGTGTCCATATTTCACCTAATGATAGCTGATTTTATTAAAGACTCTTTTGACTTTTTCATAACCTCAGCTTTGACAGCAAATTAAAAGAAAACAAGAAATTAAACAAAGATTGGTGTGATATAGTATTAAACTCAAGAGTTTTAACTTTCATTTCCATATTCTACATTTTATATAAATTTAATCAATTTCGAGAAATTCAAATAAATCTAAAGACTCTTTTGACTTTTTCATAACCTCAACTTTGACAGTGAATTACGTAAAAACAAGAAATTGAACAAAGATTGGTGTGATATAGTATAAAACCTTAGAGTTTTAGCTTTCATTTCCATATTCTACATTTTATATACGTTTAGTCAATTCGGAGAAATTCAAATAAATATAAAAACGCTGCTTTCCGAACTTTACATTTTCATAACTTCAACTTTAACAGTAATTTGCAATTGCAATTGCATAACATTAAACCTTATAATTTTTGCTTTTATTTCCATATTCTGGATTCTATATGCATTTACTCAATTTCGAAGAATTCAAATAAATCTAAAGACACTTTCGTCATTTTCCTTCAACTTTGACAGTAAACTGTGAGAAAATCGCAAATATCACAATGATGACGCAAATTGTAATGATTTTCAAAATATTTAAATAATACTACAGGGTGGCCCAATTGAACTGCAACCAACTTAAAACTGCTATAACTTTTGAACCCTTTTTCAATGTTGTGTCCATATTTCACCTAATGATAGCTGATTTTATTGTCTATAAGCGTGCTGACATTTCAGTCAGAAAGAGTGGACGTTTCAAGAAGATTCTACACAATCACATGAAAACCAACAACGCCTGAGAGCCAAGAGCAAATCAGCTCGACTTTGCGGTATGGATCATTTTGCAGACCAATATCAGCACTAAAATATACCAAAGTGTTAATGTATTCAATAAAGCCCTTCTTCGTGAATGAAGGAAGATTCTGAAGGTACAAATTTGTGCAGCCTGTCGACCAACTCAGAGCTAAGTCACTTCATTTTCATAATTTCAATTTTCACAGCAAGTTGTTAATGTATCAAAAAATGTATCATTAATTAAAAATGAAACGTATCCAACAACATTGTTCTCTAGTTATAACTAATAAAACTGAAATAGAAAACATTCTTCATTGTAGACACACACAAACACAATGTTCGCAGGTAGCTTATTAGTAATTAGACGACATGACATAATTAATTTGTAATGGGAAGAGAAAGAGTATAAGAAGAAAGAAAGAATGAAATAAAGGCAAGAATCCGTTAATTAATTTAACACGTTTTCTACTTTGGTCAAAGATCGCTCAGAGATTGTATAGACTAATGCTACTTCTGCTTGTTAAAAGCGATTTGCATCTACCAGCAGCACCCACAATCTCGGATCTTGGGGCGAACGTCGTGTTCCATGATTGTGGAACAAAATGTATCGAACTGATGTGATGTGTAGAAAGAAGGTAATGGGCATGTCCTTCGCATTTACGAAACGACCCACGAACAATCTAAATTTATGAACGAGTGCAGAAATTGAATCGAATTGATTACTCAACGTTCGGTGATTGCTTTTGAAAGCAACATCCTGATCGAACCATTGTTAATAGTTTATATTTATTTATTTATTTATTTGCACAACGTCCGGAACAACCATTGACGTTAGATTGGAGAAGAATAAGCAAAAAACGCGAGCGCGCGCGCTCCAGTTTCGAGTCCACTTATCAATCAATAAGTGCGTGCGGATAGAAAGCAACAGTTTTCCAGAGGGATTAATTGCCCGCACGGGACAGACGCACGTCTGCCGATGATATGCGTCACTTTCCAAAAAAATATAAATAAAAACTTTCCATTTTCCGCACGTCGAGATTCTCACTACACTGGAAGGGTGATAGAAGTGGCTATAACCAAGCACATTTCGTCAATCATTTAATCGCATTACCTAATGAAGAAGTAACAAACCAAGTCGATTAACGGATATGTGAAGAAATTGGAAATTTTCTCACAGCTTATGTGAAAAAAAAAGAAAAGAGCCCACGGAAATGCGTTGCAGACTTTAATTGTAATTGGATGGACGAGGAGAGGAGCATTTCAGATTAATTCATTTTGGAACCTCTCAGCGTAATGAAAAAAATAGGAATACTTTTGAGGAAATAAACTTGCGCACTTTACCGAACTTAAACTTTCTTATACTCCATTAGCAACCGTTTGGATGGAGGAAGAAAGGAAGAGTAAGTACATCGAGATACATCGGTATGCAGATCACGTTCTCGCCTCTGCTAAACGCAAGAAATATATTGCTTCGATTTCGTGCGTTTCGAAAGTCGTTTCAATTTATTTCTCGTTGCAAAAGCGGGCAAACAATGAATCGCAATTTGATATCTTATTATTATTACTATTACATAAAGAAAATGAATAAACACACACACAAACACACACGAGAATGATGGAGGGGGGAATTGCGAGCGCGTGTTCTTTTCATTAATAACATAAATTAAATATTTCACCGTACGCAGAATTACCGGTTTACGCAATCCATCCAATCGTGGAAACGAAAAATCGTTGATAAAACCTGGAAGGAATGTAATTGGAAAAAAACACCCGCGTTTATTTCGCGAAGGTTAAAACTTGGCAAATTGGTATTTTTCTTGCGAAATATCTAAATCCGTTTAAACGCAGTCGTTCAATTACGTACAGTGGGTCGAAAAATTTACAGTTTGCGTATTACAATCACTATAATTTGCTTAGTCTTTCATTACAGATGCAAATAGAGCATTGAGTTCTGTTTTACCACTGTAAAAATACTTTCAAGGTTATTTCCAGTAATTTATTATATAGTAACGATTCTAGTATTTCGTTTGTATCTTTGTATTTTATTTGAATTTGATGGTAATGGTTTCTATGGTGATTGTTGTAATGAATAATAAATTCATTTGTTTGGTTGCAGCTGTTGTTTCGGTGGTTGCTATAACGACTAAACACCATGACAACGTGGATGATAGGAGACCGACGGCGGAGGGGAAGAGTATCGGCAGCAATCTGACGGCTTCGGAGAGGCACAAAAGGTTGCTTCCGTACATGACGTTCTACTTGGCGCAGGACTTCAATCAGCCGCAGAGCGAAATAAGTTACAACCGCAATCCTTACCAGGCGTCGCCGTCGACGTTTCAGCAGTTCCACAATAAATACAACGAATTAACGAACTATCAGAAGCAGAGGCCGCAGAGTATCAAATTAACGCCGTTCCTCGAGAGCAACGCTCTGCCGGGCCCTTTTATCCCGATGCAACCGACGGAGGTGACTTATACCCCAGTTAGCCAACATCAGCAACAACAGTATCAATCCGCCAAACTTCCTAATTACAGCGCGATATATGACAAACTATCTCAATTAAAACTGCAACAAGAGCAGCAGAACCAATTAGCTGAATCGTACAATAGGTACAATCAGCAGTACGCGAGGAAGCCGCAACAAGTAAACTACATCCCGGTGAGACAGTACGTGCAAGAGAAACCGATAATCCGCACGTACACGACGACGAACATCGATATTCCGGAGAGCTACCACGTTCCAATCAAAGTCTACAAGAACGAGATCAAACCCAGCTACTATCTGAACTCTGCACCGCACCTGGACCACGCACCGCCGAGCACCGAAGAGGAACACAAGCAATATCTAGAGGACCAACAGTACAGCAAGGACATCAGGAAGCAGGCGATCAAGCCGGTCCTGGTTCTTCAGCAGAAGCCTCAGAAGACGTGGAAACCGGCCTACTATCAAATCCAACCGGAAAAATACGAAACTCTGACATACCAGCAAATACCCGAATACGTCGAAGCCTCTCCACCGCATCACGCTTACATCACAGTCACACCGAAACACGTAGATGAATCGCAAATAAGCAAATACACCCAGGCAATGAAACCCAACTACATTCGTCCCATCACCACAACCACCACGAACCCAAATTCCATTACGGAAAACACGAACTCGCTCAGTTTGATCCTGAAACGTTTGCAAGATATGAACGCTCTTCCGGAAACACTCACCCCGGACAACATCGATAACAGCATCAAAACTCTGGTCAAGATCCTGAGCACCTTCAAGAAGCAGCAGAAATTCGTGCAACCGATAGTCGTGGCAGAAGAATCCGCAGAGTACGAGGACGATAACGAAGCCGGCGTTGGACTGGGCGGTGGACACGAAACACCTGAAGCCGTCACCGAATCTTATCCAGAGAACACGCCGGAAGGTGGAACTCCAGGAAAACCGGGCGTCGATTATCCCGCACTAGCAACCATCCCACAAACCGACTTCAACTGCAAAACGCAGAGATACAAAGGCTTCTTCGGAGACCCAGACACCAATTGCCAAGTAAAAAAAAATTCAAAAAAAAACAATCCTGAAATCAAATAAAAAACATTATAACATCTTCCGTTTAAGGTCTGGCATTATTGCGATTTGAACGGCGGTCAAGCGTCGTTCCTGTGCCCCAACGGCACCATCTTCAGTCAAGTGGCTTTGACGTGCGATTGGTGGTACAACGTGAAATGCTCCAACACGGCGCAACTCTACGTCCTCAACGAGAGACTCTACAAATACATCTTACCGTTGTCGCCCAAATTCCCCGAAGATTACAGCGGTCCACTGGTCGATAGGTAACAAGCAACAAATATAAACAAAAAACATAAATTTAATTATCAAAAAAAAAACATTTTCAGATATTTGGCGTTGAAATTCAAAGAGATGGAAGAGAAAATGAAGAAGGAGCGCAAGCAGAACAAAGAGAACTCTTCCGACGAGGATTCCAATGAGGATGACGCAAGCGATGAATCTACCACCAGCAAAGAGGAAACGAAAGAGACGGATGCGAAAGTAACAACCACGGAGACTTTAAATGCTTAAGTTTAAACGTTAATTATTTTGTTATTATTTATTTATTTTTAACGTGATATATATCTATATATAAACGCTTCCGTACGCGTTGCTCTTGCCAAAAGAAAAAAATGCGCGAACGCAGAGGAAGACGTAAGGCTAGACATTTTAGGCAAAATTATCAAAAGAATGCCATAATGTAGAGAGGTCTGGCATTAGTATGCCTGTTCACTTATAAAGACTTTTTTCTTCTTTCTTCATATATATTTGAGTTATTTTTTTTTATTTATTCTCTAGTCAATCTGCAACCATTTGAATATAGCTTTGAAAATTTCGCAAAGTTCTCTCATTCATAAAGAGAAACGGCCCCAAAAATTATCAACAATAAAAATATATATATTATTTATATTCCTAATTTTGTTTTGTTTTGATGATAGTTAAGAATGTGGAAATAAAATTGAATACACTTACCTTGTGGCTTTCCATCATTTTGTCCAGTCTTCTGTTGAGTTTGTTCAGCAGATCTTGCAACCTTGGTCTATCCTCCTTATCCTAAAGCAAGTTACATTTACAGTTACAATTAGTTTATCATTAACTGCACAGAAACTCACCAGCTTATTAATTTGTCTGATTTTGTGCCCATTGTGGTTCGAGATGATGCAGTAGCTGCAATGGAAAGTCAAGCAGTCTGAGCAGCAGAACTCCTCCACAAAACCCGGATGCTGCTGGCAAATGTTGAGACTGTCTTTCGTGATTATGTGATGCTTGAAGCTGGTCGTCTGATGCATCATCTCTGAGCAGTTTCTGCAATACTTGTTGGAGCAGTCATTGCATTTCAAAGTTGCCTCATTCTTGCATTTCATATAAGAACATCCTATAAAGTGTTTGATGTGGTAAACTAATAAATTAAAAAAAAAACTATATGACCTACTGTTAAAGACATTTTTGGAATTGGATTCCTTTTGCGGATTGAATGTCTGTATTGAAGCACCGGCTGGCAGAAAAGCAATGTTACTCATGTCGCTCAGCTGATGGGATTTTGTGAAGTACATCTGCCCGACCAGATAGTAATTGATCTTTGTCGACTTGACATCCGACCACTGGTGGCATTGATTGCACTCAATTTTGTCACCTGTCTCCCGGATGCACTGCTGACAGACAGTGTGGATGCATGATGAGAGGATGATGGGTGGCCGTGCTGGAATCAAAACAAAAGTCAACTCTTAAGTTTCATCCAATTGGATTGCGATATGCGATACACAAAACAAACAAACAAACAAACAAAAAAAAAACTGAGTTAACCTGAGGGAGAGAATCAACTTACAGCTCAGATCGAATTCCCTGTGGCAATTGTAGCACGTCTGTGTACGAACCATCGGGTCTCTCTTCTGGCACGATTTGGAGAACATCCTCGACTTGCCTTGCTGCTTGTAGTTCACGCAGACACCTTTGGAGCGGCCCGTAGAAGAGGCCATCACTTTTTCTATCGTTAAATTGTTCTTTGCGCTGATCTAAGTAAACAATCAGAACGAGGAGATGCGACCCCTGGTGCTAAGATCGCGTATACGAAGAGGTTTTCAAATCGACCAATCAACAACAAGAATTCAAACAACTTTCGTTTTTTATTGGTCTAATACTTTTTCAAATTCAAATAGTTTTAGTTGTTCATCAAACTCTATTATCTACATAGTGCAACACTGAAAAACAACTAATTGTACAATTATACACTCTTACTCTTTACAAAAGTTCAATATTTCCTGATTATGAACTAAATACATCTTTAATATAATTAAAAACTAAACTAGAAATAATAGAATTAAATGCAAATAGTTTTTTTTAATCGTTTACTAGTAAGTTTTAATGCTGTTGATTGAGATTGAGACGGGATCAATTTTATTGAAATTAAAACTCTGCGTGTAATTCGAGTGGATGTAATTAAGGTTGTGAAATGAACAGATTGCATGCGAAGTTGTCTCTGAAGGGTTAGGACAAGTTGCATTGTGTTGCGTCCACTTCCTTTCCGTCTCTTTCCTTCTTTCATTTATATCCATCATTTCATCTCTTTCTCGCCACCGTTGCCCTTCACGTGCTGCATCCCCCTTTCATCCCCCTTTCATCCACCCCACAGCAACCGCATGTAAATTGCATAGCAACACACTTTCTATAATTAAACCGGCTGCCCGCTTGAACTTGAACCTGAATCGACTCATTTTCTTTCCATCAACCAAATGGAACACACGAAATTTATTTATATCCACTCTGCGTCTATAGCCAATGCAACTGCGTTTCCAACGAACGTCGCAAAATGTGCAAACATTTCTAATTGATTAACATTTCAATTGTTATTTGATTTTGTTATTTTCTTTACGTCATAGTTGTTGCTAAGAAACAAGTATTATCAATATGTAAACATCATGGTTTCCTCAAAAGCAATGATTATTTGCGTGGTAACTATGGTAACTTTTATTTAGTTGTTTATTTTTCTCTCGAGGAACGTGAGTGGTGGTGGTCGTTACCAAGGGGATGATGGAAGAGTGTTAATTGAGTGCGCGCGTTCTAGGAGGTCGTTTTCGTGGAGGGGTGTGGGCGGAGGAGGGGTGTTTCAACCTGTTGCGGGTTGCGTCCGCCCCCAATCGAGGGGGTGGCGCAACCGGTACACTGGAAGTGAATCGAAATGACACTGGCAAAAGGGGGATGTGCGTCCACATTGCACATGCTCACCCTCCCCCAATTCCCCCTACGATGGACCACACTATATGCATATGCAGACGGTGTAAATAATAATTGCATTAGTCCGGAACCGGCGACCAACATTCCAACAGCTCACCGAATCCGAAACCAACCAAAACCAAAAAAAAAATAACTAAAAATTAAAAAAAAAAAATAATAATTACAAATTTTAACTCGATTAAACCCTTATAAAATACAGACTATAAACTGCAATTTGCAAAGAGACACAAAGTGCGCGCTTTTAAATAATATTTTTTTTAAAAAAATCATCTAATGCAAAGTTACAAATTCACTTGAATTCGACTGTTCTTACGAAGAAACATTCTTTCGGGTTTCCTTGGAAACTTTGTGCAACAGGTCACCTCGCTTGGGCTCTCCACCGCACGTGTGACTCTCTCTCTCTCTGTCTCACACTCTCTAAGTTCAAGGTAAAACAAGAAAAGCTCGATCAAATCCGAAGTCGTAAAGGTAAAAATTTCAAGACCTTTTTTTCCGTAACTGTTCAACGTTCCGAGTCAAAAACCTCACGAAAGTCATGCATGCCCATCGAAACTTCTATTTCTATTCTATACAAATTCTAATGCATGCCAAATTTTATATGAATCACATAATGAAGAAACATAGACAATTCTACAATGAGAGAAAATTGTTAAAATGTATGTTTTAATTGTACTTTTTATTGAGAAATAATAAAAAAAACATAAATTTGTTAGTATTTATTCATTCCATTTATATTCTGCTTTAAAAATATTATGCATATTTTCAACGAAGTAGGTGAGTACTATTGTTCTTCTTTTTTTTTGTTTCTTGTGTCCTTTCTTAGGTTTTCAGCTTACTCGATCTTTATTAAAAACAATTGTTTCCTAATTATAATTTTAGTAAAATAAATTATGAAATCGTCTCTTTATATAAAGAATTAATACAATAATTTGGAGCAATGTAAAAATTGATGTCTGTAGATGGAAGCGACGGAAGTATAGAGAAAACAAAATAGAGTTTCACATTTGAAATAAAACAATTGAAGTGTGATTTTAACTGAAATCAAGATTGCGTTGAAAACAAACAAAAAACAATAGACGTGTTAATATTAAAAGTCTATTAAAAGATTTTAATTAGAATCTTTATAATTTTAGTAAAATAAATTATTAAATCTTCTCTTTATATAAAGAATTCATACAATAATTTGGAGCAATGTAAAAATTAATGTCTCTAGATGGAAGCGACGGAAGTATAGAGAGTTTCTTATTTGAAATAAAAGAATTGAAGTGTGATTTCAACAAAAATCAGGATTGCGTTGAAAACAAAAAAAAACAATAGACGTGTTAATATGAAAAGTCTATTAAAAGATTTTAATTAGAATCTTTAAAATTTTAATAAAATAAATTATTAAATCTTCTCTTTACATAAAGAATTCATACAATAATTTAGACTAAACGAATAAAGTTTTTGAGTAATGTAAAAATTGATGCCTAGGTGGAAGCGACGGAAGTATAGAGAGTTTCTTATTTGAAATAAAACAATTGAAGTGTGATTTCAACAAAAATCAGGATTGCGTTGAAAACAAAAAAAAAACAATAGACGTGTTAATATTAAAAGTTTTTTTAAAGATTCTAATTAGAATCTTTAAAATTTTAATAAAATAAATTATTAAATCTTCTCTAAACAGCCTAAGTCTTTGAGTAATGTAAAAATTGATGTCTGTAGATGGAAGCGACGGAAAATAGAGTTTCACATTTGAAATAAAACAATTGAAGTGTGATTTTAACAGAAATCAGGATTGCGTTGAAAATTAAAACAAAAACAATAGACGTGTTAATATTTGTCTATTAAAAGATTTTAATTGGAATCTTCGAATCATAGATGGAAATTTTGTACTTAAATTAAATTTCTTTACAAATTTAGCAATTAACAAGAAGAATTAGGTAAGTTGTGTTTTCTTTTCAGGTTTTTTTTTTTGTAAAAATACTAATGTTATAAAGAATGCTTGTGTATTATGTAATTTGCACTGGTGTAATAATACGAACACTGTGTTGCGTTGTATGCAACCGGTGCAACTTGTGATTATTTCATTAAAATGATTAAAACGTATGTTGGGATTCGGGCAACGATCGAGGGTGTAAATTTAGGGACGCGATGTGATTTTGGTAATCGCGCGAGGGTTTCAAGGGCTGAAATATGTTAAAAATCCGGATGCGTTTATGCAACCCAAACGGCGTGCGTGCATTCGTTGCTGGGATTGCGGGGGAGAAATCGTTTAAAGCCCCCGATGAAAGGGATCGAACGACGATGGGGGAGAATTGATGCCGACGGAAGCGAGGGCGGCACGCGAATGGGGGGATGGCGTAACGGCGTCAAACCCATCGGTTCGTTTGTTGTTGCTCTTTTATTTTTTTTCGTTTTCGTTTGTTTGAAATCGAGCGATCGCAACGCCTTGGGTTTTCCCTTGACGACGACGACCCATGCCCAGCGATTTTCGACTGTTTGGGATGGCCTCTGATGGGTGGCGTTGTCTAAAAATTAGTACGTGAAAAGAAACCAAATAATAAAGGTAAATATATGTGTGTGTGTGTGTGTGGGGCTCTCCCTTTGGATCCTAATTAAATTTAAGTTTTTCTATTTCGCGACGGGGGTGTTTTGGGGGTGGTGGTGTTGTTGTGCATGTGAGTGCGGGGGCTTCCACTTGTCTCATGCGACATCATCAGCAACGGCAACAGCAGTAGAAGGCATTTATTACATATGTATATTTTCTGGCAACTGGGGAAACCGATGTGTGCGAGCGAGGGCATACCGTAATGATGATGATAAAAAAAAAAGAAGAAAGAAAAAAAAGAAAAGGAGGAATGATGAAGAGTAAAATCACAATGGCGGTTATTAATGTCGTGTCTGTATCGTCTGTATACGTTTTTACAGTTTTAATTTATTCTCAACATCGCCACTGAGGAAACTCATTTTCGTTTCGAAACTGAATTACAGATGAAATCAGTGCGAACTCTACGTTAGTTTTTGTTGCGTTTCACACCACTCCGGCATATTATAGTTCTCTTTTTTTTTTATTAATATATATATATATACATATACATATATATATACACATTTCTGTTCTGTTCGCTGCTGTAGTTAAATTATTTGGGATTTTTCTTTTCGTACGTTTGTTCTTGTACATGGTAAGTCTCTACTTTTAAGGGCATCGGGTTCAAGTCCACGCTTGTCACGTCCTGCATACACTACTCTGGCATGTGCACACTTCATCTACCTACCTAACTAACTACCCCTCTCATTTACATCCCTTTCCTCCTCCTTCTTCTTCCTCCCCCTTTTGCAAATGGAAATTTTCCCTCAATTGCCACCGAAATTTACCGTTTTCTAGTACCTTTTCCGTTTTCCCCCAAAAAGAAAAACCCCCCCAAGGTGAGGAGAGGCAAGGAGAGATGCATTTGCCATGTCTCTCTAATTTTCTCTCACTTGAATTTATAGATAACTGTATTTCGGCTCAATACAGTTTTAGGTCAACAACTCTATTTTCTATAGCAGTACATCTATCTGCACACAATTTACTTCTTTCCAACACTGCCCATTCCCCAATACATTCTTTCTTTTCCTTCTGCTTCCTTCACTCATCCAAAAACAAATCACCCGCACAACAATTATCAATTCACTATCGAACATACAACATATCTATCATAAATGCATTGAGAAAAACCTTTCTCAATTAAAATGATTATCGAAAAGGACCTATGCACCTCTCATAAACAAATTGTTGACCATTCTGACACACACAAAAACATGCATCGATAATAAGAAAAATAGAACAATTATTATTAATTAATTTTTTTTAAAACAAATAAATCGACAAGTCAAATTCCATGTCATCGTCATGCACTTATTAACAAATTAGCACTAAATCTATAGCATCCAAATTCCATCATCGGAGAACCTGAATGAATGTTGCAATCATTTAATCTTATGTACTTCAAAATGAAATCGTATGAATCAACAGTTCATTCTTCAGCTAAAGCTAAAAGTCAATATTTTGACAATATTACAAATTGATCAAGGGTGTTGCTTCAATAATATTTTTTTTTGTTTTAAACATCGCCTACTCTGATGTATATATTGTGGGATAAAATCGTAGCATTATTTTGAAAAAAATATTATTGGTAAACGTTGAAAATGAGTAATTAGAAAGTTTACTATCATCAAAATAATGAGCGGGTCCGTTTATTAAATATTTACACGTCGTTTTTGCATCGAAGTTGTGCGTTTAAAAAAACAAGTGAAGATGCTTAGCTTTTTTTTCTTTTTCTTTTATAAACGTTTGATGGTTCGTAAAAGGGAAAAAGAGATGTCGTCATTTCGAAAGTATTGCACGTGGAATGCAGAAAATCCCATCTTCTCTGGTTTGAATTTCGTTTTAGATTTCTGTGCTGTGCGTGTTTATTTATTTTTCTCTCTCTCTCTCACGCTACGCACACGTATACATATACATTCGTTGCGCACTCATTTAGAAGAAGGAAAAAATTTGATTTGAATATGGAGTTTAGTTGAAAAGATATTTGGATCGCGACAGCTTTAATTCGCATAATAATAACAGTGAATTGCGCAATTAATTTGAAATGTCGTAAGGGAACTGCTGCGGCGATAGATACACTTGAAAACTGTTAACTGTTAGCTCGAAAAGTCGAGGAATTTAATGTGTGTGTGTGTTTGAAGCGCGAGGATTAATTAAATAAATAAAAGATAAAACGTGGAGGTGAAAAACGCTGACTTTTAAGGAAAATGAATCGAAATTAATAATTGCTGTTCGAAGAATTGATTGGAATAGGAAGGAGTTTAACGACGGCGGAAGAGTAAAATTAATAAATAAGAAACAAGAAAAAAAAAATGTAAAAGAGAGGACGTGTAATAATGCAGCAGCAGCAGCAACCTGTTCGTTCGTTCACTTCTTCATTTTTTTTTGTTGTTGTTATTTTCGTGTACACTTTGCGGCTATGTAGTTAGTATTAGTTTCGTTTGTTTCTCGAAAAACTGAAATGCGAGCAGCGACGAAACGGCGATTTACATGTGAAATAAAATTACGCGTTTATTAAAAGTGGAACGCGACAGTTATATAACAGGCTGCAAGATGCTCTTTAATGATTCTAACTGCTTCTGTTGAAACAGAAGGGAAACAGAAATATTGTGCATAGGTCTTCTGCTCTTTGCTCGGAGAAGCGCGTCGCTCATCATCATCATCAATCCAAGAAAGAAAGAGATTGAGTGGAAGCCAACAGACAATTGCATTGATTAGATTATAGATTTGTAATTCGGTTGTTTCGTGTGGTGTTTGTTTGTTTGGTTCGGCGGCCTCCCAAGAGAGAGAGTTCATCGCGTTTTTTCCGAAGACTTTTGAAAACAAGAGGCGTGCGTCGACGCCGTCTGCGTTAATTACTTTAGATATATATTGTGAGAAGGGCCCAAAACGCATATATTAATATCGTGCTCCATTTAATATCTTGTTCGAGAATAATGGTATGTTGTTTATTGAGTAAAGTTTTCTAGTGGGAAAAATTGTTGTTTTAATTGTTGTAATTTTTCGGTGCATAATTTCGGGTAGTCCGTTATTATTATTATTATTAAATTTTTTTTGTAGGTCAAAAAGATAGGCGGTCCGATGATCGCGTATGCATGTAAATATAAACTGTGCCTTAGATAAAGAGCGTTTTATCGCGGTTGGGAACGAATGTTATCGGCGTCCGCTGGCCTGGCCGTCCCTTTCAGAAACGCTCGGAAATGATAAAGGAGAAAAGGAAACGAGACGCAAGAAAGAGCGTGTTAGAGGAAGACGGATAGATAGATATGGTTTAGAGTTTCGAGAATAACGCACCGTGTTTCGTAGTTACCGAATAGGAGTAACTAACAAACTGGAAATGCATAATTAGGGAAGAGATGCCTTTCTAAAGAACTGGTTTTCTTTCATTTTGCTTAATGAATTATATATATATATATGTGTGTGCGCTCTTTTTATATTGTTATTGGGTTGTTGTGATTTTTCCAAAAACTAATTACGTTTTCTTTCTTTTTTTCCTTCCTCCTCTGGACGGTTCAGGTGTAAATAGGGAAAGAGAAACGATGGATCAGCAGTTCTGCCTCAGATGGAACAACCATCCAACCAATTTGACGGATGTGCTGTCGAGCCTGCTGCAGAGGCAGGCCCTCTGCGACGTGACGTTGGCGTGCGACGGGGAAGTCCTGCGCGCCCACCAGACCATCCTCTCCGCCTGCAGCCCGTACTTCGAGATGCTGCTGATAAGGAACACGCATCCGCATCCCATCATCTACCTGAAGGACGTCAACTACCTGGAGATGAAAGCCCTGCTGGACTTCATGTACAAGGGCGAGGTGAACGTGTCGCAGAACCTGCTGCCGATGTTCCTGAAGACGGCGGAAGCTCTGCAGATACGCGGCCTCACCGACAACAACTCGATGAACAGTAACAACAGCAGCAGCGGCGGCGGTGGCAAGGGCGCCGCAGACGCTGCGAGCAGCAACAACGATGTGCCAAAACGGATGGAACGCGAGTCGCCGCCACACGAGAAGCGGAAGCGGAAATCGAGCAACTGTGATACATCGAATGCAAACAGTGATAGATATAATGATTCTCAGGTAATTCACTATTCTGACAGTAATCAAACAGTCAAAAAATTTAACGATTAAATTTCTTTTTTTGCAGGCCACTAGCAATTATAAAACGACAGTACCAAAGCCCAATCACCCAATTGATAAAGATGTAGCTAGCCCCGAAGATATGCGAGTCGCATCTCCGGTCGTCAAACAAGAAGTAAACAAAGAGAATAACCTGCAAGTAGATTCATACCATTCTATGTCCGAAGCCCTGCAAACGGTGAGTTATAATCAAACGTAGATTTTGTACAGTTTATTATTTTTATTTTGTCTTTACTCATTACATTATTTATTACACGAGCGGCGGTAAAAAAAGAAACGCGAAAGAAAAGTGCTCATCATACGTACAGTGATTTGGTGAAAATGTGCTTGAAGTGTTATTTATGGTGTCGATGCTGAAGAATTTATAGTCTCTCTCTCTCCCCCGTCATCTAATATTAGAGATGTTAAGATTATTAAGTACTAAGCGCGAAGTTTGATGTGTTGTTGTTGTTGTTGTTTTATATAATTTTTGACGACCGAGTGTAGCAGAAAGAGTGCATCGAAACCAGCATCAAAAAAAAAAACTCATTTCTCCTTTCCTTCTGTTAACAGAACTGGGGGAGAGAGTCAAATGAAACGGGCACACTCCGGTACTATCTCGAAGGGCCGAACCTGAAACAGTCTCAGGTCTCTGAGCAGTTTCAGCTGACGTCCAGCAGAGTTCCGTTGCCCATACCGCCGGAAATCTGTCGGCAGATGGACGTGGAACGCGCGGAAATGACGACGACGACGACGTCGACGTCGGTCGCGCGACCTCATCAGCCACACAAACGCGGCACCCGGTTCCGACCCAACTGGCTCAACAATTACCTCTGGCTGCAGTACGACCAGGCGAACAATGTCATGTTCTGCAAGATCTGCAGGAAGTGGAGTGCGAACGTCCCCGATATTCGCACCTCGTTCGCGCACGGCAGCTCCAACTTTCGCTTGGAGATCGTGAACCACCACGACAAGTGCAAAGCGCACCGGCTCTGCATGGCCAAGGAGATCGAGATCGGCCGATGGTGCAAACAGTTGGACTCGTTCGATCAGACCTAACAAACCTGAGAGAAGATGCTCGCAGCGGTAGTGCCTTCTCGTCAAAGAGATCTAGTGACAACGTGTCCGCACACACATTTATGCATACGTATTGCATATTATTGATTCTTAGTCGTTCCTTCCGCAACAATTAACCACTTCCTACATCCCTTAGTAAATAAATCAATAATATTTGTTAAACAATCATCATGATGCTATCAAGTGGTTCAACAATTGTTCAATCTTCGTTTTTGTTTACCCTCTATTTTGTACATATACAACAACAACAACAAACAAACAACATTTCTATATACATTTTTACGTTTATATAAAGTTATTTAAGACGTGTTTTATATAAAAAGTTATCTAATTATCGGTTCACGATCAAAAATTCCGACATTCGAAATCCCGACAGTAACTTTCATTATTTCACACAGACGTGAATTTAAAAACGAGCGTTTCTTGTGTAAAAAAAAGTACAGTGGTACTTCGACATTGCTCGTATATCAAACCAATTGGGGCACATTTTGTTTGCAGCGGTGTAGTGTGGGATCTTGCTCTCATCTCAAAGCAAAATATCTCAAAACACTCGTATATCGAGGTACCACTGTATATAAACAAACTATATATATGTAAGAGACATCCACAAAGTCTATACGGCTTATAAACAAATACATAATAAGTACACTACGTCGGGAATTTGATTGTTGGGATTTATATCCTAATCCGATATAACACGAACGTTCCCTTTGTTTTGTTTTTTTTTGTAGTGAAATCTTATACATTGTTAATTGTTTAAAAATTTTATCCTCCGACGAAATAAATAGATATATATTTATCGAGTTTTGCATTTCGAGCTACCCACCTTCACGAGAAAGCAGTCTTTCACCTTACACACTTATTTTTTTTTTGTGACGTCGAATACATAGTTTAGATTCCGAAATCACTAAATACGTACTCATTATTATTGATATGAACTATATGTGTGTGTTTACATCAAATATCGATTTGTATAGAGGTTCGAGAGAGCGATTATAAAGTTTCAAATATGCGGCCTTGACGACCACGGAATTTAAATTGAACAATTCACTGTATATTTAGAGTGTGTGTGCTTTTTTTTTATGGAAAGAAACAACAATTTTGATTGGAGAAACCATTACAAAAGTGTACTTATTTTACGATTTCTGATTTGACGAATCTATAAATTTAATGATGAAATGTATTCAATTCAGTTTTATTTAATATATTGTTAATTGTCTGCTGTTATAGGTAAAGCGAACTGCGAAGGTTGCAAATAGCTATTATTGATTAAAATAAGTGCATTTAATTAGCAAAAAAAAAGCAATAATTAACGCATCGACTAAAGTCATTAACGTTACGTGTTATTATTTTTGTATTATAAGAAAATGTTGGTTTTCTCATTGTCGTGTCCCATAGTTGTGTCCCATAGTCGTGTCCCATAGTCGTGTCAAATATCTCTTGACACTGTGGAATATCTCGTAGTTGTGGAGTCCTAGTGAAGTTTTTAATGAACTTCTATGCCTAGATTCAAGTTGTTAGATTTGTTACTAGGGTTTTACGAGTCTAACTAGGACTCGTCTCCACTAAGACTAAAACTAACTTGGACTAACGACTAGCTAGGACTATGACTTTAACACTGACTCTCCCTGTATTACATAAACATCCTGTTATATAGTAGTGAATTAGCATAGTGAACAATATTTAGTAAGGGAAGATAGTACCTAACTTTCCCTAATAATTAAGTGATGTACATACTAGAGGTCATTATTGATTGGACCTTTGAGTTGTGCTTGAGTCGTTACACAATGATTAGTTATGGTCACTTCCTAAGTCTTAATGACTTACTTACATAAGCATGCATAAAATAATAAGGGCTAACATAATATAAACAATAACATCAAAACAGTTTATTTGAAATAACTGCTGTAATTTCTTCGCTGGAAGAATGAAACGAATGTATTTTTTTTTGTAGTTCTTGTAATAATTTCCTTTTTTTTTTCTTTTGGTTGTGTTTCAGGGTGGTAGTTTAAGTGTGCATCCGGACGACATGTCCCTCATGTCCAGCCACGCACTCTCGGAGCATTCAGAATCCGAAAGCACCCCGCCAATATTACCGCCACCCGACCTGTCCGACACAATCGATGGTAAGTAAACGAAAAGAGAAACATATATAATAGCCAAGAAACACTTATCTAAGTGTGCGTGAATCAGTTGATCACAAAAAAAAAGAGAACGTTGCGAAAAAAAAAGAAAGAAAGAAGAGTAAATAAGTAATCTGAACGAAAACAGAAGATTAGAAAAAGTAACAGTAATAATAATAACGAGACAACTTTTAGAGTTTATTTTGGATTTTAGTTTTGAATTATATTTATTTATTTTTTTGTTGGTTTTTGGTTTCGGTAGTCTATTTAGCACCTTGAGCATGCATCACCAGAATCCACACTACAACTAACTCTTGAACATCATCTTCCTCTTTAATCGATGATTACTACATCATCTTTGCTTATAGATTAGTTAACAAACACCCTTTTTAGCACTCACCTTATTGTTTGGTTCTAGTTTTTCTTTTTTTTTTATATAATTTTTCCATTGCTGCTTGACTTGTTTATTTCAACTCATTTGCACGTAACGCGTTTTATATTATTATTTTTTTTTGTTGTTGTTTTATGTGCACATGTGTGTACATACCTTTATACATATTTATTAATTTTCTCTCTCTTTCGCACAACACACGTCGTTTTGTTTACCGTTTAATTTGCCGAAATTATTAAAGAAAAAAAAAATAAATATTAATAAGATCAAGGGAGGCTACAAATTGTTTCCTCCCTCTGCGATTTTATTATTATTATTATTATTTTCCTCTCCCGAGTGCCGAAAAGTGAACGAAAGTGTCGTTTTTTTTATTTATTTATCTAAATAATAATTATTGTATTCGCAACTATCGAAAAAGTCTATATAAAAAAAAATTATATATATATATAAAGAAAGCGTGAGTATAAATGATTTTATTTTATTTATTTTTTTTTTAGTTATACCTATTATATAAATTATTAATGTGTATTTCCATTTTAATATGTGTTTAAATAAACAGGTTTTAAGTGCAGCTCTTCTCTTGTCGTTGTTGTTGTTTGGAAAAAAAATATTTATTTATATATTTATAATTTTTGTCGTAGAGTAGAGTAGAACAGTAATTCCCATATTTTTTTAATCGATTTTTGTTTTGTATGTGTGTGCATTTTAGTGGTGGAGGAGCAGCCGAAGAAGATTTTAAGGCAAAGCAATCGCAAGGCGGCGAACGTTGCGGAGAAGAGAAAATTGTACGTGGAGACGGCCGGCGATGAGATCGTTTGCGAAGAGGAAACGATGACGAGGAGCAAGAGGATGAAGAAGGTTGCGAGCACCTCGAGAAAGCAGCAAAAGCAGCAGACGGTTTGCGTTGATGATGATGATGATGATGTGTCGTCTGATTTGAGTCAGGATTTTTTCCTCTCCAAGGGATTGGCGACAATTGAGAATGTTGATGGTGGAGGAGGTGGTGAGCGTAGTCAGGAGGAGGATATACGTGTGATGAGAAGCAAATCGGTGCCGGTGGTTGCAAAAGCTACGAGTATGTGTCTTCAGTGCAACAAAGAATTTCCTGTTGATATGCTGAAGAAGCACGTGAAAAGGTACCACCAGTACTGGAAGCACTGCGAGGTCTGCGACAAGGCGTTCAGATCAGATGAGCTCTTGCTGAAACATGTGAAGGACGCGCACGAAGACTCGGAAGAAGATTGAAGATGGATCTGCGATTTTTGTTTTTATTCTTGCGCATTCTTGCGGATTATAAAAGTATGCACAACTGTTTGGGTTTGCTGAATTTCGGTGCGCAAACTGTCCTCCCTTTATGGTTTATATGTAAAACGTAAATCCTTCTTGTATTTGAGAGGATTCGGTCGAATGATGTTAAGTGTTTGTGTGTGTGAGCTTTTGATGATGCTATTTATATGGAGATGGTGATGGTTGGCCTTCTGTTCCAGCTAGTTGGTCAGCTGGGACCGGGGTCCAACCATCTGGTGGTGGTGTCTTCTCGGCACGTTCCAGCGCCCAAGACTATTGCAACATGTTCGAGAAGATCGGCCTGTTGTACCAGTGCAAGGTGTGCGGGAAGTGCGTGAGCAATCGATGGCATCACTCCTCCATCCATCGACCGCAAGCCAACAACTGTCCCATGTGCAATCAGAGTTTCACGCGGAAGGACAACATGAAGGTGCACATCAAACTCAAGCACGGCATCTTCACCTATCCCGATCCATCCGAGTACTACTAAAACACACACAAAGAAGAGGTGATCTACAAAAACTGGATTCGAACCACGAACAAAGTGCCATTTTCCAAAATTTAATTTTATACAAGAGACGAATCCGTGCACCGTTATCACTGTTCAAAGCGAGACAGCGACGACTCGGATCCACTAGTTCTTACATAAAAAGAAATCAATTGTTTTTATTGCTTTTGTAAATACCGTTGTTATGACTACGTTTATTAATTATTACTCTCTTCATTATTTATAACGTTTTTCAATTTATTTACGTTGAATTTGAATTTTCCATAGAGTTTGCGAGCGAACTTTTTTTCTGCAAATTAAACTTTACTTTTTGTACGACGTGAATTGTTATTTCATCCGCATCATCAGCATCCACCACCCTGCACTTCGGTGAGACAAATATTTGCTTTTCACCTTGTTATTATGTGAACGAATCACGTCCAGCATCCTCCATCCACCCCATATAATCCTTGCAGCAGCGAAAACAAGTCTGTCTGCAACTGCAACTTATCGGATGCAAACAAAACTACTAACGACAACAACATAAATTAACAAAGCTAACATAATTTAATGAAATGCTTAACAACGTTTTTCACTGTTTTTGTTGCTATAATTTTCGTTCTGATGACGCAAAGTGTCTTGAATTTTGTTAATATATTAAACGTGTTCTTAAAGTTAATGAAACGATTTATGAAAAATTGCGCGGTAAAATCAACAAGCTAAGGTCGTAAGGGTTATCGGAATTTAGTTACTTTATATAGCCCAAGCGTAGATAATTTTTGATGAAACTTGCAAAAAAAATTAATAATAAAATCCTTATAAAACGTAATAATATTGTTAAACTTATTGTTTCACTAAATCTTGAGTTAAGTTCACTTTAAACTTGAAAATGTTAGTATATAATTAATACAATTTTAATGATCATTTGACAAAGTTTCGAATAATTTATATTATTTCACTGAAACAAATCGTTAAGATTTAAAAGAAGTATAAATAACTAGTTTAAATATTCCACTTGACGATATTCTGACAGTACGCATTTTCGATCTAGTTCTCTTAGATTAATTTTCGGAATTCATTTATTTTCTAATTACATGTATTTACTCAATACGTGTTGAGTATGTGCGGTAACTTGCAACAATTTCAAAACCGATTTAGCAAAGTTATATGATCTAAATCTTAATTAATGAATTCAAATAAGTGAGACATAACATTGTATAGACTTCGACGACATTTATTATTGATAACCATAGCGACGCAATTAATTGAAAAACAATAAATATAAACTTTATTTATTACCATAGCAACACAATCGATTGGAATTCTGTATCCACCTTTGCTGCAATTGCACAAACGCATTTGTACATCAATTTTATTAACCATAGCAACGAAATTTATTGTGATTTTTACAAATTGAGACTCGAAAAGAAAAAGAAAAACATCATTTATTAAATTTTACAAATTTGAACTTAATTTACCAGACG